CTGCAGCGATAATAATGTATCCCCTTTCCCTGTTAAAAAATTTAACACTCTGATTATTTTACATTAGAAAAGAACAGTCAAATCTTTAAGATAAGACAAAGTTATTTTTGACATGAATCTTGCACATCCTTTTGCTGACAAATAACATTTGGCTTTCTGAATCCTTTTCTGTGTTAGTAAGTTTGGTTTCATTGCTTGTATGTTTGGGGACAGGGTGGGTGGGATGTTGTAGTCTTTTTACTGTCTTTGGTAGTGTGTATTTGATGCCTTATTGATCCTTTGGGGTCTATGTTTAGGTTACAGATCATCCTCCCCGTTCAATTCACACACCAACCATGAGGACAGCATATATTGGATCGGGACTTTCTGCACCAAAGGTATTCAGTCAAGCGTTCACACTTTCTATACAGTAAGGGGGAAAATACCGCTCCTGGGCAACAGCTTCAGGAGAACTGTTTAGCACAGTAATCTTACCAGAATTGCCTAGGAGGTTTGTTTATATACAGACTGGTTGCTTTCTAAAATTTAAAACCTCTCATTCTTGCATTATGTGGTGTGACAAGTTGTACTGGGTATTCTGCTATAGCAGCACACAGTCATTTGATTATAGGTAAAACAATAGTTTGGACACTAGAAAGGGATAAATAAACCAGAACACAAAGAAAGGAAAAGAGACTTCCTAGGGTGTTTACTGGCATGTGTCTGACCAACCTGCCTCTATCCTCTGCATATAATAACACTGATGTCACTGTGGGCCAGTCTCAGATTAGCGCATCAGTGTGCTAATTAAATGCTTATTTTTGAGAAAAAGCAAAGAGTAAGCCTAAAATGAAACCGTAGATTTGCATTTTTTAGAAGCAATGTGGAGGGAGCACTACAGACAGCACTGCAGCACTGGGCTTGGGAGAAGGAATTCCAGTTTTTCTGTCTTCTGGCTTTTTACTTGCATAAATACCGATTTTGCATCAGTTGTTAAAATTATTTTGCTGTTGGCCAAATGAGCCAGTCAGTGTATGATAATTCACAGTGAATTGTGTATATTCGAGCAAATGAGGAATAAGATACAAGCTATTGAAGGGAAAATTTTCTCATAAAAGTGTCAGAAATGCCTCGATGGCTTAGGCATCTCTGTATATTTTAAAAAATGGCAGTTTTTCTGCAACTAGTTGATGAAGTAAGTCTTTCTAATAGATCTGGTTCTCTGCTTTGATAAATTACAAAATGGCAAAAGACTTAATCTGTATAAAAGCAAGCTAAAAAGTTTGAGCAGATAGTGTTCTGTTGGCAACATCTTAGTAGATCAATTAAAAAAAATACCGTAAGTGCCCATGGAATCACATGAAACAGATTTTACTGTGTACATCATTTCATTTCTGCAAATATTTCACTCACTAAGTAATGATTGGCTTCCTAATTTATTATGTTCCCTAAAGAACCGTCTTACTTTGTGATTGCATCATTTTTTTAAAGCTAAGTATTGTTTCCCTGCAAGTTTTCAAAACAAGACATCCACCTGTAGAGAGAAAGCTTCCATTGTAACAGTAAAACTGTCATTAAATATGGATGAAGTTTGAGCCCTTAGCTGTGATATCTTATGCTGTGAAAAACAGGAAAGTTAATAAAATTTTAATATACCTACTCACTAAAGTAGTCTGCAAAATTGTCTTATTTCAGATCACATACATTATCCAGGTTGTTTGGACAACCTTGCGTTCACCCTATGCTGTATCCTTTCTCCACCTACCAGTTGTTACTTTGCTGGGAGTTGTTTTTTAGAAAAGCAAAGGAGCTTCCTGGATTTTATATAAGGCCTTTGATGAATCATACTACCACATTACGTAGTCATTTAGCCTTGATATCATAGCATCAGCACTGCCATCCTTGAGGGGAGAGAGAGAATTAAAACACTTACTCATGTAGCCTGTGTTCCCAAGAACTAACAAAAAGAGAAGACCTTTCAAAGTCAAGTTCATCTATCCTCTTGTTTTTAAATGGGGTGTTCTGAAATTGCCTGTGCCCGATGCCATAAAGTTGAACTCTGTCGTGCTTTCTAGCATTAAAATTAGAATTTTGAAAGTCTGATATTTTTCTTTGAACAAAGGCATCTCTCCTTGCAGAGGAGCATTGAATTTGCAGCTTAGAAAATACTGTGGTGGGTTGACCTTGGCTGGCTGCCAGGTGCCCACCACACACATACATACACACGTTCAGCTTCCAGAGTGTAATGTAATAATTTTGGCAACTTTCCTGTCTGCAATGGAAGGAAACTTATGTTCTGAGACAAGGTCCAGTTTCCACAGTTTCATTTACAGAGGATGGTTTAAACTATCAATAACGAGCACTGATAAGGAATTTTTTTCAGCCCATGTGTTAGGAGCTCGGATCTCATTTCAGCAAACACAAATGCCACCATTTTAAAGGCACCTATGCACTCTTATGTCTGTGGGAAAAAAAATCACTGTTCTTCAGAAGTGTTACAGGTATTAACATCCTTGTCTGCTTGTTTCACAGCCTAAAGCCCACCAGTTTGTAGTGAAATCATTTAATACACCAACAAAATGCAATCAATGCACATCTCTGATGGTTGGTTTAATACGACAGGGCTGTACTTGTGAAGGTAAGCACTTGTGAAAGCAGGAAATGTGAAATGAAGTTCTTACAGATGCAAATTGCACAGTAAATCTTGAGGTGTAATAATGTAGGAGTCTTCTATTTATAATTTGAATTACAGAATATATTCTCATGCTTCAGTCTTTTAACAGTGGAAGCCAAGCACTTCAAAAATCTTATGTAACAGACTACCTAGTTATCTAGGGACATACTTATTCCAGTTGTTGGTAGGAGAGCTTAGATCAGTTTACTTAAAATAGCAATGAGAGGCCACAGTCAATGGTCAAGTATGCTGACAGCAGCTTTGCTTTCTGACTCAAGGCAAAATGTAAGCCAGCTTTGCCTTTCAGTACCAATTCTGCTTCTTTCCAGGACTAACTTATTCTAGGTTTGTATGTAGACAGACTGGCACTCATCATTTAGAGAACCTTCCAGCTTTTTGTTTACTAGTAGAGCTGGTCCTAGAGGAAATCATAGACATTATCTCAGTATGAGCTTCTAATTAGGCGCTTTCTTACCTGGATGAAACCAGACTGTGTATCCATACACCTCTGAAACTGAGAATATCAGAATTTATCAGAGCATGTAAAAGCAAGAACTGCTACTGTGCACAGATTTACATTTCTGTCTCGGTGTAGCAAAGTTCAGTGAAACTATTCAGTTGTTGGTCAAAAAACGAGAGAATTCCTTTATAACTGTCATCATAATTATCATAGCTGTTTGCATTGCACAAGAAATAACCATCAATCTTCCTGTTTCTTCTCCTCCTCACAAGTATGTGGATTCTCTTGCCACGTGACCTGTGCAGACAAGGCTCCTGCAGTGTGTCCAATCCCTCCTGAACAGACTAAGGGACCTTTGGGAATAGATCCACAGAAAGGCATAGGAACAGCTTATGAAGGTCATGTCCGAGTAAGTATCAGGTAGCTGCATTTGGAGCAATTATATGAAAGGTATATGAAAAATTGTTTTCTGGAGCTGGAATTAAACTCTAATTGGGACATCCCAGGAGGATGGATTCAATTATACTTTAAGGTAACAGTTTGGAAACTTAGACCTAAATGTTCACAAAGCAACTCTTAGCCTTTTCAACAGTAATTCTCTCTCCATCTCTGTTGCCCATTGTGTTTTGAGTTGGTCTTGAATAGTCCGTCTCTAGAGATCAGATAATCTTCGAGGGCCTGCGAGTTTTTGAGTCTTTCTGTTGATGCTACTACTGGTATTGGTGTAGATACTTGTACTTAAGTACTAAAAAACTCAACATAGTTTTGGCCATATTCCTGTTCACCAACTAGAGATGGATTTCTTTCTCTATATTTGTTAATATAGCTTTGAATGGGTTTGTGAAATAAGAAGAAAGATTCTGTCGTGCTATGAATTTTTTTTAGATAATACATTGTGGGGTCTGTATGGCTGTGTTTGATGCTCTTACTGCACCTGTTCTATTGCTTACATTGCTCAACGTTATCACTGAATAAAAGCTTGTCAGCCTAGATGAGAGAATTAGTTTTTATACTGTCTGATTTTTGATTGCATGCAAACTTACAGAGAGTTGATCAGAATTTATTTTGCTAAAGGTACCAAAACCAGCTGGAGTAAAGAAAGGTTGGCAGAGAGCACTGGCAGTGATCTGTGATTTTAAGCTCTTCCTGTATGATGTAGCAGAAGGAAAAGCATCCCAGCCCAGCGTGATAGTGAGTCAGGTCATAGACATGAGGTAAGCTGTTTGGTGCTGAGTGGGAGCTTTTCAGAGGCACTGGGAGGTTTTTTTCTGCTTTTCCTTTTTGTGAAATTGGTAAGCAAGCTCCAGAGCTTTTATGAAACACTGTAATCCATGTTGAGAGCTTCTAATTTTCTGGAAAAAAAGCAGTATTTGCAGTTAGCCTGAACTATACTTGGGTATATGTGGCAATTTAAACTTCCATTACTACATCATGTGCCAAAATGCATCTGTTCAGCTGTGTAGAAGATCTGAAATGAATAAAGAAGAAAAATACATTCTTTTGGAGTTGAGTAGAGTTTTGAAAGACAGATAAAACTTTGTTATAACATAAAACTAATAAAATTTTTGATTCAGAGGGCTAAATACGTTGTTCCCACTGTCTTCAGTATTACTGAAATACTACCAACTTCACTGAAGGTTGAGAACATTTAACATACCAACTAAGTAAAGCTCACCTCTGAACTAGGTTCGTTTATCCAGGAAGTCTCAAACAGCTGTTGCTTGTAGCTTACAGCTTCTAGTGAGTTTGGATTTTTATGAAGGAGTTGGAGATGTGTCCTTGGTCCAGGCTTATTTTTTAAGTTTGATTATATTTATTTTTTTAAAGGAGGTTTTAATTTAAACAGACAAAACCTAGACACTCTGATTAGATTTTTCTCCATCAACATTTATCAGGAATTAATTATGCCACATTACATTTGTGAGTTTCATCTGCAGGTGAAGAGGAAAGGATAATTTTAAAAGCTAGATCTCAGTACTGTCTTATTGTGCCCTTCACAAAACAAGGATATTGGTACTATGGAAATGTAAGTAAAAAACAAACGTACAGATTTTACTCTTTAACTCTTTTCCAATTATGTTTGTGGTCTCCATAAGGGATGAAGAATTCTCAGTGAGTTCTGTCTTGGCCTCAGATGTCATCCATGCAAATCGAAAAGATATCCCCTGTATCTTTAGGGTAAGTATTATGTCCTGAACCTAGTAACCCCAAAGTACAGGGTTTCACAGTGTGATGTATGGTGTGCATTCACTGACAGCTTGCTAGTATTTTGTTTTCTTTGCAAGTTCTGGCTGTGTGGTGTCCATGGCAGCAGCAGCCATGCATAAGGATCTGTACGTATATAATTTTGGTGGTAAAAATAGCTCTGATAAATTTAGACAAGCTCTCTTCTCCCCTTTACGTGGGTTTTTTTTTTTTAACTTCTGTTCTTCATGACCTTCTACGCTTTCATTTCCTAAAGTTGACTTCTGCTTCTCAATTTAATTTGTTGTGTTATTCCTGAAGCCTTTATTTTATGTTTTTTTCTTTGCATATATGCATTGGATCTCTGAAAACTCCCAGGCATCAAGAAGTCAGTCTAGAAATCTAGTGTAAAATGCTTATCAAAATTTATGTCTGTTACCTGGTATCAGGATTTTGCCATCATTGGCTTTTTCTAACATTCTTATTTTTACTAGATGTTCTATTTGAAGCTTCGACCTCAGAGAAATATCTTTGGTGTCATATCAATTCCCCTATCATTTCTTTATGATACCATGGTATTTCACTCCTTGTTTTTCCAGCTTTCAGACTGTTCATCACTGCATGCTGAGAGGAGATAAACCTACAAAAGGGGCTTTAATTTGTATCTATAGTAGCTGTACCAAATACGTGAAAAGGATCATAGATCATTCATTCATAAAGACCATTCCTATTGCATTAAATTATTAATGAAAACTATTGGTCTTCAAAAAAATACAGAATACTTCTTAAGAAATTATTGTCATTATCAAATGGCTGTAAGAAACAATTGACTACCTTATTTAGGGCAGACGTTTCCAAATTACAGAATAAATACAAATGCATTTAGAATAAAGCCAAAGTTTTGTCTGTACTTTGCTAAGTTACTCGCATCTACTGTTTTTCCTGCTGTGAGATTCAGTGTTTTCTATTAACTAAGGCTAAATTTTGCATTCTTAATTCAGGCAGCTAATGAAAAGGGCACTTAGAGGAATCTGATACCCTTGTAAAAATGATCATGATGAAATTTTTTATTGCATATGACTTAAAATATATATTTTAAAATTTTCCAGGTTACAGCTTCCCAGCTCTCTGCATCCAGTAATAAGTGTTCAATCCTGATTCTAGCAGACGGTGAGAATGAAAAAAGCAAGTGGGTAGGAGTGCTAAATGAGTTGCATAGGATATTGAAGAAGAACAAACTCAAAGACCGCTCAGTCTATGTCCCCAAAGAAGCTTATGACAGCACCTTACCCCTCATCAAAACAACACAGTCAGCAGCAATCATAGGTATGAAATGAGTACGAAGAAAGCTCCAAGAATGATGGGTATGCTAAAAGCATGCATTTTTTTGCAAAAAAGGTTAAATGGTGTCATCTACCAAATAGAGAGTAATATGTAGTGGTTTTATCCCATATGGAAATGCGTATGGGCTTGAGAGAGAAGTGTAATTCACTACCCAGTACTTTTGTTGGATCTTCTAAGAATGTTCCCCCTATTCACACATATTCGTAATTATGAATAATTTTGGATGAGAATTGGACATTACTCTTCTGTTACTCTGTAAATATAATTCTTAACTGGCCAAAATTAGCACTATAGAATAGACATAAATCACTGACTTTACAAATTTTGCTTGTGGGACCAAAGAGAAAATGTAAAAGCAGAGAATTAATTTAGCCATTTAAAATGCTACTGCATAAAATATGTAAAACTTTGATTATTTAAATTATTTAAATATATTACAGTTATTTCAAAGTCGGTAGTACACTTAAGTGCTCTGAATGGCTTGTTGAAAATGGTGGTTCTTGCTGTTACTGCTACTAGCAGGAGAAATGGGAAAAGGCTTATTTCTTTAGGATTTTTAAAGATTGGGAAGTTACCAATGGGTTTTTTGTAACATGAATGTGTTGGGTTTGGCTTCACATTTGTTTATTTCAAGATACTAAAAAACTGTCTCTGTTAAGCAGAATTACCACTATTGTGGAAGAAGTATTTGCAGAGAAAAATAACCTTTTTTTTTTTTCTCCTTAATATCACAGACCATGAAAGAATAGCTCTGGGGAATGAAGAAGGGTTATTTGTTGTGCATGTCACCAAAGACGGTAAGAGACTGGGAACTGGTAACAACTTCCGTAATATTAAATAATCAGAAAGTGAGTTTGTAACCTTTTTTCACTTTCAATACCCTCTGGTGTAATTTTTCTTGATTTACTACGTTATCAGCTGGACAACCCCATGTGAGAGCTGGTAATCAAGAAGGTGTTTTGTGTGCTTTTTGTTTTGGGTATCCTTTCCAGTAACAAAGATCCAGCATCTGGAATGCAGTTGAATGTTTTCTTCCCTCGTTTGAAGCAGGCTCAATACTTAATTCAGACCAGGTTGCTCGGGACTTTTTCCAGCCAGGTCTTGAAAATCCCCAAGGACAGAGGTTCCACAATCTCTCTGGGCTGCCTGTTGCAAATTATTCTCACAGTGAAACATTTTCATTGTATATCCAGTAGGAACTTCCCTCATTTCAATTTGTGACTATTGTCTCTTCTCCTGCTGTGTACTTCCATAAGGAGCCTGGCTTCATCCTTTCTGTAACCTCCTCCTTGGCATTAGAAATGAAAACTTATGTTCAGTATTTCAAAGAGATGTAATGATAGTTGCCCGGGCTAATTCAAGAAGCAACATGTTTAATTGTATGTTTTAGTCCGTTGAGGGTTTTCCTTTATTCAGTAGCTTTGTGGCTATAAACTGTTTTTGAAATGAATACTGAAATAATACAGCGGTTGTTACTGCATTGGATCCGCTCCTCCCCTTTTTTGATGAGGAAAAGCCAAAGGTCTGTCAGCATTGCCACATCTGGTATCATTAAAATACAAGTTTTGAGTCTGTACATTTTAATATTGCAGGGGAGCAATAAAGGGGGTTTCTTCGGTTTCCTTCATAGTTTATCTTTACAAATGCATATGTTATAATCAATTCACACTTCAACATTATTTATTTGGATTTGGGGGGGTTTGTTTTTTTCAGAGATTATCCGTGTTGGTGACAATAAGAAGGTTCATCAGATTGAGCTTATCCCAAATGAACAGCTCATCGCAGTAATCTCAGGACGAAACCGTCATGTGCGGCTTTTCCCTATGGCTGCCCTGGATGGAAGGGAGACTGAGTTTTACAAGCTGGCAGAGACAAAAGGCTGTCAGTCAATAGTCTCTGGACATGTGCGCCACGGAGCTCTTACATGCCTGTGTGTAGCTATGAAAAGGCAGGTCCTCTGTTATGAACTAAATCAGAGTAAGACACGTCACAAAAAGATCAAGGAGATCCAAGTCCACGGGAATGTCCAGTGGATGTCAGTCTTCAGTGACCGTCTTTGTGTGGGCTACCAGTCAGGTTTCTTAAAATATCCCCTTCACGGAGAAGGCAGCCCATACAGTCTGCTCCATCCAGATGACCACACACTATCATTTATCTCACAGCAGCCAACTGATGCCATCTGTGCAGTCGAAATCTCAAATAAAGAATACCTGCTGTGTTTTAGCAGCGTAGGGGTTTATGTTGACTGCCAGGGACGAAGATCTAGACAACAAGAATTGATGTGGCCCGCAACTCCATCTTCTTGCTGTAAGTTGCCGTATGTGTCAGTGTACTTGCTATTATACATTGAAGTGATCGCTGCTTGTATTAATATCCACAGAAAGTGAAGTTCAAAGATAATTACCCAACAGGTAAATGAACACTCGCAGCTTCTGTCAGCATTTTTGATCTAGTCAGAGGTTTTAATCCTGATCTCATTTATCCTGTCACTGACCTGTACTGCTGTAGCACAAAGAGGGATCAAGGGTCAGGATTTCTAACGCTGATGTCCAATTTCTAAATACATGGTCTGATCTCCAAAATGGCCAAAAGCCTCAGGTCCTGCAGAGGCTAATGGGATCTTTATGTATTCACTACCACTGATACTGGATTGTTACTTAAAGTCTTAAAATTTGATTGTACTTTGGCTCAGCATTGTGATTCAGGCTTTCTTGATGTACAGAGTCATCAGGATCTGGTAGTTTGACTTTTTTTTCTCTAATGGTATTTATTCCTACTTAATGAGGTTTTTTCTTTTCTTTCCTTACTCTTTCATTCTCTCTTCTTCAGCAGTTTTTTTGACGCCCTTCTCACTGATCTCCTTCTCTCTTCCTCTCCTTGCTTTCTTTAAAAAATCAGGTTTTAAGTTTTTTTTCCCCCTTCTGTCTCCCTTTTCCCTTCCAAAATACAGTGTATGGCAGGCAGTACAAAAAATATACTTCATAACCTTGAGGGAAAAATACTGTAATTTTTCAAGATTTCTGTTTCCAGCAGGAACTGTGTTAAACATTTATTGCATGTTTTTTCAAAGGTGGGGCTTTATTTTTATGACAGTTGGAGGGGAAAAAAAAAATCCTGCAATGCCCATCTCCTTCATGATGTCTTTCAGAATGTATATAAAGATTGTCCTCAGAGTATCTGTGAATGAGCCCAGTCTTACACTTGTTTTTTAAATAGTCTGCTGCCTTACCTCACTGTGACAATAGTACAGTCACATGGCAAAGGAGAGAAATGTTTCACCTTGTTTGAGTGAAGTCCCTTCTCAACGTGGAAGGAGTGACTTTTATAGGCTGTATGTCACTTCTGGTTTTCAAGCAAGAGTGTGATTATTACAGTGGACTCAGAGAATGAATGAATCAAAAGATTTTGTGGTAGATTGAAAAACAGGTATTTTCACATGTAGTTCATCTATACTGGTCATTGACATTTGTGAAAGTTTTTGATTGCCTTAAATGAAGTGACTTGATGCTATTCCAATTCAGAATGGAGGTATACTTTATAGTAAAAACTGTTACATTTAATCACAAATTGGATGCTCTTGTTAGTCTTGGCAGACCATGGCAGTCTCGTTGCTGACATGGAAATAGTAAATTCTCCTTTAGAAGCGGTCCCAGTGGAACAAATTTCATCCTAGGAATGTGCCAGATGAGTAGCACAAGAACTCTCTACAATCTTGAAAATAAGAAAAGAGACCTAAAGCTTGAAGGAAGCATGAAGATTTTTATGACTGTGTCATGGTGCTTAGTTCCAGCTGATGTTAATTTAGTACATAGTCCAAAGACTAAGAGCTCAGTTCATTGAAATGACAGTTTATTTAATAACTACAATATATTTTCCTACTGCATCATTTACAAAATACAAGCTCTTTAAAATAGGGCTTTTAGAAGAAAAAGAACTTCGAACCACATCAGTGTTTGGCAGAGTAAACTCTAGTCCCTTGTAGTTCAAAAAGGAGCTTGGTTCTGCAAAGTTAAAAGTCATGGAGGTTTTAGGTTTTTGGTGGTGGTTTGCCTTCAGAATATATTTCTTGGTCATTTTTGAGTTAAAACACATTTTGCAAAGACTGTTGTTGGATTGTGGGGTGATCTTCTTTGTAATAAATATGGTTAAACCATAAGAAATCGTATATTTTGAGCCCTGTCTGTGACATGACATTCATAGCCCTGACATGACACTATACCTAATCCTTACCTCTCAGGTTACAATGCACCATACCTCTCTGTGTACAGTGAAAATGCAATTGATATCTTTGACGTGAACTCCATGGAGTGGATTCAGACTATTCCTCTCAAAAAGGTAACTTGATGTTTCAGTATCAGTGAAAGAATATGTCTGGACACACTGTTGCTTTGCTACAGTCATACCGGGTTTTTTAAGCACATTAGAAGCCATCATTGAAACTGCTTGTTTAAAAATAGTGAACTAAAAGAAGAGCTGCTGCAAAGTAAGCAGTGGCTTTTGTTTGAAATACAAGATATGAAATATGTTTTGCATGTGGTTTCAGTGTTATAGATGAGTCATCAATCTGGAGCATATGAGTATGTTAGACTTACTGATATCTTTGTGGAGAGCAGTTTCTTGGTATTAATTGCGTATGGCTTCATTGGGACTGATTGCATCTATGTTATTGCCAGAAGATGGTGGATGTTAAACAGGTGTATAATTAAACAGGCCTTCAGAGATCTATCTTCTGCTGCTTGATAACATTGTTGACAGATAGGGTTAGAACATTTTGGTTCAACCGGTACAAATATTAAAACACGAGGATGATGTCAAGTTTGAATTATTTATTAAAAGGAAGAAGTTTTTGAAAATTGATGCTTCCTTGGTATTTAGGAGATGTTTGTTCAGCTGTATTTAAAAGAAAAAATAAAAATGGGGTTAGACTGACTTCAACTTTGTATTAGTGTCAACATAATTCCTTTAACTGGCATTCCGGTGACACAGAACTACAAGAAATTGTCCTTGTGGTCTTGTCTTAGTCATTCAGTCTCTCTGCATATCAATTTCCCATGTGTCTGATGCAGGCCAGGATTTTATGGCAATAAATAATGCAAAGATCAAGTTGCTCAGCTATTAACCATCTTAAGGAGGGAAGAGGGATCTGGCCTTTTAGAGGAGATTTCCTCTACTCTTTCTCATGTCCAAACTTTGAGTTATTAGGCAGGCAGAGCATTTTTTTCCTACACAGCAGAATGTGATTTAGTACTTTGATTAATATTTGGCTCAAGACTGCCCATTTAATGAATGAAGCTACTCTCAACAAACAAGAGTTGCTACATCTAGGAGACTCAAAAATGGAAATTTATTATGGAGGGCTTATTTCTAACACAATTAGCAGTCTAGGAGAGTGGAATGCTTCTTTGATTTTGAAGTTGAAAATCACAAATACCAGTAGGTTTTAGCAATCTGTATATACTCTTATCAAGTTGCAAAGCGTAATTGTGACATGGTACTAACACAAAATAAAAGCACAGCTTATTGCTTTGTGCATCTAATAGACAAAATTGAATTGTTATATGAAGTAGGCTTTTAACAGAACTATTTATTTAAATGCTGGGAGGAATGGTGTTAAGGCAATGTCTGTAAGTGGAATTTTAGGCAATATCCTCTGTACTCATTCTCCAAACAGTTTAAAATCTAAATTTTTTTTTTGAACTCTGCTTTGTGACTTTAATGGCTCACAATTGGCATATGTTACTGGAGGTAGGAGACACTGCTCCCTACAGTTCTTCTGTGGAGCAGGCTTTGCTCTGGCCAATTACACGGTTCTGCTGCCTGGTTGGCTCTATAACAGTGCTCCTTTTATGGAGCTTATAATGCACCTTGGAGCTTTCAGAATAAGATGCACTATATAAATGTAAGTTATTACTATTATAAGGACTGATTTTCCTTGTTTCAGGTACGACCCTTGAATACCGAAGGATCATTAAACCTTTTAGGCCTGGAGACAGTTAGATTAATATATTTCAAAAACAAAATGGCAGGTAAGTAAAGAGAGGCCAATTTTCATCATGCAAATTTTTGTTTAGAAAGAGCATTTTACTTTGGCCTGGATCTGTGTATTATAGAAAGTGATCTCTCAAACGTATGTGTGCTTGTTAATTTGGGAGAAAGCCAAAGCTTATAGATTCCACAGAGACTGCAATGATGTCTGCTAGGCAGCCACTCTGAACTTTTTTTTTCCCCCTTTTGAATATTCAGTGAAGACTGGAAATAGAAAACAGAATGACTAGACACTCCCTCCAAATCTGGGATCACCTGCCAGAATGCTATCTAAAAATGCCTGCACAATTAAAGACTTTAATAGTGATCTTGGCAGTACTGGATTAAAATTAATATTATATCTAACCTAAACAAACTTTTCCTAAGGATCAGAAAGTAATACAGTATTATGTATTTGTAACTTGTTATTAGGGCCACACATGATTGTGTGCCAAAGTTTTAGCTTCAGAATTCTGTTTTTGTTATGAGTCTTTTTTGACCTTTTTTTCTTTTTAGAGCCCATTTCAGAAGCACACTCCTGAATAATTTCCTTAACCTTTTGTTTAACCTCTTTGATAGAGAGGGAATGTGCTTTGTTTTAACCATCAAAAGCTATAAATTTTTTTAACAACTATTCTGAAAACAGTAGAAATAAACACTGTAGAAACATATACTGCTGTTGGCAGTGTTTCAGTGTTTATTTAAATTGCAGCAAATGAGTACAAAAGAAATGACAGTGGTAGAGAGGAGCAATATGGTGGAAGTATGTATAAAGAATTTTCAAGTCTAATAAAGATGGAACATTAAAAGTAGAGCAGAAGAGAAGAAAAACTGGAGCATAGGATCAGAAGTGAGTGAGGTTGCTGCTTTGCTCCTGTACACTTCCCACTGTCCTTCAGAAAAGGTTGCCAAACAGTAAAGTATCCTCCAGGTGTATCTCTTTAAAAGTCTGCAAGTTTTTTACCCTGTAGCTACTTCCATAGTAGATCCCATGCTTCATGAAATCTCCAGCTGATCTTAAAGAAAGAAGGGATTTTAGTTCCATACAATGGAACAGTCTGTTTGCAGTGGTGTCCAGCGACAGGACTAGGGGCAATGGGTGCAAACGGAAACATAAGAGGTTTCAGTTGAATATGAGGAAAAACTTCTTTACTCTAAGGGTGACAGAGCACTGGAACAGGCTGCCCAGGGAGGTTGTGGAGTCTCCTTCTCTGGAGATATTCAAGGCCCGCCTGGATGAAGTCCTGTGTAGAATGCTCTAGGAGAGCCTGCTTTAGCAGGGGGGTTGGACTAGATGATCTCCCGAGGTCCCTTCTAACCCTTGTGATTCTGTGAAAAAGTGTTTTGGCAGTAATCAGTAGGTGTTGGGTATGTTCAAGCTTATTAAGTGTAACATTAGTCTCTATATATAAAACAAGACAGAGCAGTTGTAGCGTTCATTCAGAATAACACTCCTATTGTATAATTGTCACTGCTACCCATTTCATGTCTTCATTAAAGATGCCTTGGCCAGATGTACACATGTGGAAAAAATCTTCCCTTTTCCCACAGTTGCACCAAAGTACATCAGTGTTCAAACATTTCAAATGGAGTAGTCTCTTTGGAGCAGGGAATGAATGAAAAAGAATCTTGTGTTGAGTTTCCAGACGATTGGCAGAACAAGACTATTCTAGTGATTTTCAGTGAGAACTGCCAAAGAAAGTTTGAGATAGAGGACTGAGATCCTTTCCTAAATGTTTTGTTTGGAAGAATTAATCAGCGGTATTTTGAGAAAAACAGTTGTGGCAGCTTGTGTGTGAGGAAGGGTTAAGTCTCTCGCTGTATAACAGAGTAGATAGTAACCAAGAAGACCCATAAACCAAAGAGCATTTGTTCCGGTTTGATGGGTAATGGGTGGTGTCCAACACTAGCAAGAGCAGAGGGACAAAATGTCTTTGAATTCAAATGCCATGAATACCTACTAAGTTGTCCCACTGGGTCATCATATTTATATTAATTTCAGAGGGTGATGAACTGGTAGTTCCTGAGACATCAGATAACAGCCGGAAGCAAATGGTTCGAAACATCAACAACAAGCGCCGCTATTCGTTCAGAGTACCAGAGGAGGAGAGGATGCAGCAGAGGAGGTCGGTATGCAACATGTACTTGTCTTCTGTACATGCCTGTAGGCCCTGAAGGACAGTGAGTGGTGCCAATGTAGTCTCATTTTTTGCTTTATGGACTGCCCATTCAGATGTTTCTGTCTCCTCGCTACCATGTTAATCCTCAATGTTTAATTTGTGTTAATACCAGTTTGGTTATGGATATGCACTGGATACACAAGTATTGGTTAATTCAAATTAATTATGTGAAACAGCTGTAATTTGGAATGCATGTCTCTACATATTGTATATAGGTACATAGGTGTGCACATACGCTGTATATATAAAGATCTGTAATAAAGACTTTGCAAAAGGAGATTACATTGCTAACTATGCATATGGATTAATTACTTTCACAATCTGGTTCTGCTTTTCTTTCTTAAGGCAATTCTACTCTCAGCAGTATTCCAAGGCATCTGCTTTTTTGATTTATAGATTTAACTACATAAACATTCTATAAATCTCAGAAAACTCACCTCTTCAGAGGACATAGGACTTCAGGATGTGTTTCTAATAGAAGTCTTTAACAGGTCACAAATACTTTCCTAAATGGCAATAAAAATAGGTCTGCACTACTCGCAGTGTTCACAGAGGATGTTACCGACCGTTTACTGTCACTCGCTAAAGATGACCTGCTACTGTGCTAAGCTACTCTCCAAGAACTGAGTATTTCAGTTTTCTAACTTCCAACGTCTTCCACCGATGGTTGGCTCCCAGCTTTCCTTTCTCTTTGGCTCTAAGAGAAGTAACAGCTGTGTACAGTGGACATAAAATTCCAGTTCTGGTCCTTGCCTTTTCTGAGCTGATCGCGGTTTGGTCTTTTAAAATTGTATTTATTCTGAGTTCTGAAATGCATCCTTGCCATTTTGAAGAGCTTTTAATTCTGACCACAGACTGGGAAAGGTACTGCAGTATTACTTTAATTCTGTTTTCATATTTTGTACTTCATTTTCATCTCCAGTTTCTAATACATTACAGTGAGTTCTGCTTTCACTCATCTTACAGAGCTTTTTATCAGCTTATAGTGGTTTTATATTCTTTGAATGTTAGTAACTACTGGGCGTGGGCTGTTAGCCTGCAAACAGCATTCTTTTCTTCTGGCCCCTTGCCCTCTCTTCAAGCTGGAAGCTTGTCCCATGCCAGTGCTGATAGCAAGGGTTTATCACTGTTACCATGGTTAAATAGTTAATTTCCATTGAAAAGTAGCTGATAATCAAAGCTGTACTGTTTTATAAATGTCCATCCTCACCTCAAACGAAATATCTAAACAAAGTCCCTTCTGTTCCAGGGAGATGCTACGCGATCCGGAAATGAGAAATAAATTAATTTCTAACCCAACTAATTTTAACCACATAGCACATATGGGTCCAGGAGATGGTATACAGATTCTCAAAGACCTTCCAATGGTAAGTACAAAAGTACTGTGACTGACTGCAACAGAAGCTGCAAATAAGTGAGAGAAAGACAAGTACATTTTAAATGTATATTTAGAGTGTTGATGCATTTCATATCAGGAGCAGTGTAACTAGGGAAGTAGAGCTGAACATGCTCTGCTGTATGTGATAAAATATAAACAAAGAGGATGGCAATCAAGCATCAAGGGGAGGAGGAGGAGTGGCTAATGCCTCATGGGTTTTAAGGAAGATTTGCCTCTCAGTGTTGATGATAATTTTTATGACCCATATGAAGGGACAAAATTAGGAAGGTTTTAGCCTGTGTTCTTTGTGGGAATGGAAAGAGAAATTCCTTTCTCCATGAATTGTAGTTCAGTTCCTTTCTTCTCTTTCTATATTTAGCTCCAACTTAGCCTATCTCTCTACAGCCTTTTTTCCTCAGACAGTGGAACCATTGTACTTTAACAGTGTGTAGTGCCCAAATTTCTTTCCATGCCAAAGATGTTATCTTTCTTTTTCTCTCTAAATTAACGAGTCTCAATGAAACAGAACTTCTTGCGTAAAAACTAACCTTTTAAGTTGAAAAATGGAAAAAGAAATAATGCAATAGCACACACACATGTTCGTTTCCACAAAACCTTATGTAGGAAATACCTGGAAATTACTGAAATTTTTGAGCTAAAGACCAGTTAATATTTTGTTCATAGGAGAGTATTATACTGTTTGCTTCCTTGAGCATCTTGTTTGTGTGTTCTGTACTGTTTTCTAAACTTGTTCACTATGACAGAGATGTGATTCAGAAGATGCTAATTAGCACTGTAAGAAAGATCAGGTTATACGATATCAGACAGATTATATGAGCACCACCATAGGACATGGGCATTAGTACAGCAGTGCTGTCAAAAATGATCATCCGTATTGCTTGGAGTTTGTGCAGAAAGCAGGAAGCGGATGCTGAAATTGGGATTTTCAGATGCTGAAAAGCCCAAAGGAAACAACAAGAAGACTGGAAGATAAAGTGTGACATGCAGTTGCACTAGTTTAGGAGCTTAGGAGCATAACCTCTGGTCTCCAGATACTCATTTTACCTCACTTTTGCAGCAAATGGTACTTATGTTACGCTTTACCATAAAGTCTGCACATTGTCCATGAGCCCTTCTGGCACTGTTTTCCTTAGATGAGAAAATGGAAGGAGAGGAAAAGATCTACTTTAAATCTCATACTAGAGATGCTCCGAGAAACCTCTCAATAACAGATATATTCAGTGCAATTGAGCAATAAACAATGTGTTGTGTGTGTGTATGTTTATAAATAAATAATGAAGGACCCGCTTCTAGAAAACGCATGACAAATCCATGGGAGGTTGGCAGGTAGAGTTTATCTTACCTGGATGTAAGTATCCATATGTCTAATGTTAAACAAAGAATGGTAATTTGCTTCAGGACAGGATGTAGACCAGAACATTTTTTTCACTTTTCCATTTCTGGTGGAAATGTCTGGTCTTTAAAATATTTCTGGCTCTTCTCAAGCAGAGAAAATAATCTGCTACTGCTAAAGGTAGGGCAAAAGACATCCCGTTTCACCCCATCAGTAGTTGAAAGTTCATGCAAATCAAAAGCTGCAAGGACTCTTAATCAAGCCCCAAATCTGGCAAGTGTAAAATGAGGAATGATTTTTTTCTATAGAAGGGGATTTTCTAGGCTTAGATGGATTAATATTTCTTCAGCAATGTCATCTCTAAATGGCTTTTAGCTTTGAATTCATTCTAATTTGCAAACCTTATTGGCTCAAAGGTCATATTTGAAGTTTAGGACTGGTACTTTGCTTCTTACCAATCAATATGATGTTTTGAAATAAATTCATGAGTCACTTTCCACACTTGATGAGAAGACATTAGAAAATGTGTACAATATAGAATTGATTTCTTGTTCCACTGCTGCAGCTTCTTTCTAAAGTTACTATTAAAAACTCCTCTTTGCAAGTAGGTATCAATCTTAATGTTGGGAGATAAAGCAAATTTGACGTGTGTTTTTTCAGCAGCTCCTTACAATCATCATACTGTATTTGTATTCCTAACCTAACGAGTACAAAACTGCATCAATCATGGGAGTTGAAAGTATGTGAATTTGAAAGTGTAACTTGAGATTAGGAAATAAATGTTCTGTCAAGAGCTACTTCAGTCTGGGCAGCTTTTTCTTTTCCAACAGCTTCCTGTAAGTTATTTCACTGGCCTAAGTTTTCGTTTAGTCTGCTCCAAACTACCTGCTTTGTTGCCGAGGCACAAAAATAGGAGAAAAGGAGTTGTGTGTGCATATGATGTCATGTACTGAGTCTAAAGTTTTATTTGAAAGATAAATTTAGAACTGAAAGAGAGGACGGAAATATTTCCAGGAGAATCAGTACATAAGGTAAAGAATACTCATCCAACCTGGTGTACAGTTCATCTTTACAGGGACATAGAATTATTTCACTAGATTCATACCTTGTTCCAAAAAGGTGAATAGCTGCTTTTTTGGTTTGGTTTTTTTTTTTGGTTTTTTTTTTTTGTGCTTCTTAGTTAGCGTGTGTGATGATTTTGCAGCTCGAACATCTTTGTATTTTTAAATAGATCAGCATGTTTCAGAAAAAAAATATTTATTTTTAAAAAACTATGGGAAAAGTTGCAGCATTTTACTTTGTGAATGCCTGTTTCTATTATGAAAGTGGATGATAAAATACATTTTTTGCCTTTAAAGAAGGCTACCACTAGGGGGAACAAGTAGTGCAAGGCTAATACTTTTCTCAAACTCTCTTCATCCAACTATTTTAGGTGATATAGCTTCTTTTTTCATGAGATACTGGAATCCAGAAAGTGAGTGAAAGAATGGAGTGGGCCTTTTTATTTGCAGTTTCTTCTGAATTATTTGAGCAATTTCAAAGTTAGCTGGATCTACTGATGCAAATTTATTCATGCAGCATGAGGTTTCACTGAAGTCAGTATGGTGCTATGTAGGCAGAAGGGACCTTAGTAATAAATAATAGAGACTAGATCTTTAATCTCTGTGTTGGATGGGATTGCCACAAACTAAAGAGCCAGCTCAGCCTAGCTTTTATCTAGCATCCATGAACGAGCTTTATAAAGCAAATGACAATTTTTATATATATGTATGTGTTTGTATTTATTTATGAATATATACATACTCATCTAAATATGCAATATGAATCCAATCCAAACTTATCTGTGCTGTCCAACTAACCTGCCTCTGCTGCTTTTTTCAGGGGAAATGCCAAAAATTGAATGAAGTGCAGAATTAGAATTGGTAGTGATGGCCCTTGCGTGGCTGGGCTGCGCTTTGTCAGTGGGCAGGAGGGGACATACACTTGTGCTGCCTTAACCCGTGGCCTAACTGCCTGGTGGATGCAGAGCCAACGGGAGCTTGCTTGCTATCTTGCCATTGCTGTTCTTAATGATGTCTTTTAAAAGACCAACTTTAGAGAGTTTTAATTTGTATTGTAAATGTAAAAAATGATAATTGGATAAATGGAAAGTTTTATATGCTCTCAGGCTATTTGGTATGTTGGATCAGATGCCTACATAAGTGCAACATACCTGTCTGCATGTGATAGCCCTCGCTGATGCAGCCACACAAGGGGGAAAGATGCTTTCTCTGTGCGTTGCTTCCAAGGACTTGGTATGCAACAGGCATGTGACACGAACAGTGAGATACGTTTATGGCAAATTTCAGTCTATTAGCCTAGTCCCATATTGGTGTTCTCCAGACACCCTTGACTTCAGTATAACCCTGTGCTTGGGCAGAAACAAACAAGCCTAAGTCTTGGAGTGAGATCAGATTTAAGAGAGAAAATATTAGAGATTATCAGGCAATTGTAAATTTGTATCCTTCTTTTCTTCATGATGAGCAGTTACTCAGGGGTCTGGCTTTGACAAGCAAGTTTTTGGGCTACAGCACAACAGAAGCCAGAAGTTCTTGTTTGCTATTAACAGAGCCATAATCAGTACCTATTTGTATTTTATTGATGTGGATACTAGATCTGGGTCATTGTCTTGTTTTGTACAACTTGGAATCGTTCCTGTTAGTGTATCCCCAAACTTATTTATTTACATGTTTTTCTTCCCTAGCAGCCTGTCACCAATTAACTGGCCGTACAGTCTGGCCTCCCTTCTGCCCTCTTGTCCCTTGAAGCCACTTTATCGTGGATGCTCCTTTGTAGTGAAGATCTGAAATCTGGAACTGCACTTACTGCAGCACAGACCACCTCTCTGTGTACATCAGATGTACAGGATTGATTTTTTGCTTTCATATTCTGCATGCCTAAGTATTTTACATTCAAAAGCTAGTCGACTGCCATTATATTTGAACATTATGCTTCAGTTTGACCTCATTATACATGAGCCATTATACTTCCATTCTAGATGACGTGTGAAGCTTTGCTTGTTTCAAATGAGAAACTTTTAGAGTAAACGAATACTTACCCATATTTGGTATTCTTTAAAGAAAGTGGGAACCCTATGCATGCATCTAATGGTGGAGTCCATGGAGAAAGTTCCATGGAGGATCATTTTAAATATGTCGCCATATGGTGGCTTTCTCACATTCATGAATGCTGGCTAAATATTTCCATGGTCTGCAGCTGGCCTACCCTCTGCTTTTTAGCTTGCGATTTTAGACACTTCCTTTTCTCCCTTATTGGCTTTTTGGAATGGAGCTGGCTTTGCTGCCAGTTCTCTGTTGTGAGCAGGTAACTCAGCAAAGTCTGCTTTCCTGGACCATTCTTGGAATGGTGGCTCCTTGTACTGATATTTAGATGCTGTTAAACTTACTAATAACAATTTAATGTATATCATGTCTTATATGCCATAATGTGGTAATTGATGTTTTGGTTAACATGCAAAGCCTCATAATAACTGTGTGTTTAAAAAAAAAAAAAAAAAAAAAAAAGAAGTTGGATTTTACCAGCTGAAATGAAGAGAACAGTAACAATAATGTTTGACAATATGTATTGGGATGTGACTTAATGTTCTTCCAGACTTTAATACGTTCCACATACAAAAGTAGTGCCTTAGGTTCAGTGGAGGGGTAAGCTGTATTTTTACCATATTTTATTTTTTTAAGTCCTAACATTTCTAATGTTACTCAGATCTGTTTGTTTTAAGATGATGAAATCAGTTGGACAGGGGGAAGAGAAAATTAGAAGTTAGAGAAGGCAGTCTGATTTGCTGGTGGCCGTTGGGCAAACCATCCCCTTGCAGGCTGACCTGCTGATCGTGTACAGATGGCACAGGGAGGGAGACCGACGCTCTTCCACTAAATCTGGATTTAGATGACTTTAAATTACCAGAGCACTTGTGTCAGCGCATTCTGTAGAGATGAATTAGAAATTGTTTCTGTTCAATTTGCAGGATTACTTCTCCCCTCTCTTTCTTTACGTCACACTTTGGGAGCATGCTGCTCAGTTGACCTGCTAAAAACATTTGAATTTCCCAATACTTTTGCACCTTATCTGCTGAGGGCCTAGTCTTGTGCAGCGCAGAGACGGCAGTGCCAAGTTAAAACGCTGTGAAGATTTAGTGAGTGTGCAGAAGGACGTAGGCCTTGTGTCATCTGTTTACAGCAGAGTAAATTGTCCCAGTTGTCTGACACTAACCAGTTCACCTTCCCACCCAACCTGTGTCCCTGCTGTCGAAATGCTGTTCCCTCCCATTAGAAATACTGTGTGTGTTGTACAGGTGATACTAAATTTTAATGGAATCGCTAATATGCATGAATAACAGAAGGAAATCTCTCATGATCTTTAACTGTTGTGTATTCTCATCTTTTCTTCTCCCACACCATCTCACCTGTGTTCACCTTCCTTTATTTGTGTTATGTCTATTTTAGATTGTAAGCTCCTCAAGGCAGGGAACTGATGCTTCTCAACTGTCTGTAAAGCACCTTTTACAACTGTGGTGCTCTTTGAAATATCAAATAATAATAAATATTAGAATCTATTCCCAATGAGTTAAAAGTTTTATTTGTTTTTAATGTTTTAGCCACAGCAAGGGCGGCAGGCCCATGTGACACCATGTAAGGAAGGTGCTCAGAGGACTGGGGGTGACCATGTAAGAAGCTGTGTGTTGACGGGCAAGCAGGGTTGCTGTCTGGCTGTCCTTCAGTGTTTGACTGCTCTTGTGGACTGCTGTTGCCAATGTAACCTGTACAACCATCCTTCATTGCTTTCTCTCTCTGTTGTCTTTGATAGCAGCGTTCCCCTTATCAATTCCCTCATCATCACTCCCGTCTGATCTCCTCTCCGAGCAACTTTGAGCACATCTACCACATGACTGTTAATTCAGCCGAAAAATTCCTCTCTTACGATTCCATAAACCCTGCATTTTCCCCGCCTCCACGCTCTGTCCTCGGTACTCCAGACTTTATGACTCTGAGGGTATGAACAGCTGAATCAGGTGTTCACTCTACTAACACTGTGTGGTTTTCCTTTTGCCTGGCTATTAACATGGGAGAAAACCCCTTGTAAGTGGTTTCCTTCACCCCTTAACTTTCTTCTGTCCCAACTGATTTATTTTCTGCTATCAGCTGTGGTCTTCCCACAGCTCTGACATGCCAGGAAACAGATACTTCATGGCTTTAAAAAATAAAAAGTGCGTAACAACTGGGCTGAACGTTGTGCTATGAGAACAGCATTTTTAATCACCAGGAAGGATGTGGGAATTTTGAATTACAAGTTCTCTGTTCCACAGTGTTCATCATCCAGCAGTAGTGGCAGGATGCTGTGTATCGGGTTGCATTAGGAAAAGGTTCTGGATCTGTCTGTGTTGGACCAAACTTTCAAACTCTTTGTTTATGATGATACCATGTGGAGTGCAAGAATTTTTACACAGCGCTGTGCATAGATAGGGACAGACACAGGTTGTGCCTCATATAGTTTCTGGGTTAAATAAGTGAAATTAGAACATGTACAAGCAAGATAAAAAATTAAAGATAATGGCAACTTGCTGATGCAGATCCTCTTAATCCTGGTAGGTTTAAGCAGAGGCTCAGGTAAGATGCTGTTCTGTAAATATCCTTCCAGTTGGAATGTAAACTGGGGGGATGGAAGTGATCTTTTCTTTTATCTTGTATTGTGCATCCTGGCCTGACTATGTGGGGGTTGCTAGGTCCTACAGAAATACAAGCCATACTAAACCAGGCTCACAAGTACATGCTTTGCAGTGGAATTGTGTGCCGTGCTGTGGCCTGCAGTTCTGCTTAGGATGGATTTGTTGATAAATCGGGAATAACCTGTGAGGTAGATGTATGTGATGGCAGTTGGTTGCTCAGGGTTTATATGGGTCTGAGCTATGCCCGTTGCTGTAATGGGAACACTGCTGGTGGTTTCTGTGGCCTTTGGACACCCTTCAGACAGGCATGGCAAACCTTCACCACCAGACCACTTTGAGTGCCTCTTGGTTGCAGTTCTAGATCCCTATCACCGGGAAGGTTTTGGGATACATACCTGCATACACCACCAGAGAGAATTTAAAAATGCAGGATGAAAATTGATTTCTTCCATATGGCTCCAAAACAAATTTGCACAGCTAAGCTTTGACTGGTCACGTGCATGGTCATGTGTTGCTGTCACAACCATCAATATTCGAAAATGAAGTTGCAGCACTTTGGAAAACAGGCTCTGTGATGACAGGTTGGCATCCATCCTGGCTTTTCTGGCAGGAGGAGAGATGCAAATACACAAGAGGAATGCTCTATTGAAATGCAAAATAAAAATATTGTTAAGCCAAATTGAAATTTGTTGCTCTCTTAGAGGGTCATTATAGGGTCACTGAGGCTGTGTTTCAGTTCTAGTTTCAACAGTTGGTGTTTTTTTTAATCCAACTGTACTATAAAATTTTCTGTGTTTAATATGCAGTGATGTATCACCGGACTATGGCCCACCCTCTTACCTTCCCTTTCTCATGTGAGTGGTCTACCTGGGATCAGTAAGGAATGATCCCTGCTGTTTCATGCAATAATTCTTAATTTTTGCTTTAGGAGCGTCCCTCATCCTGATGTTGCAGCCTACGAGCATAAATTGGAGGAAAAAAAAGTGAAGCAGGCAACCTGGAGTGTTGAGATCTTGTATCTGTTAGCTCCTTAGGCCAATGGAGGTTTAGTCTTGTATGAAGAAAAGCATTCATCTCCCTTGTGGCTTGAGGGTAGAGATGCAAGGCAGTGAGTTTTGGTTTCATGTATGTCCATCCTCCCCTTTGTGTTTGGAGATTTTAGTGTAAGAAGGGTAGCGCTCCCACCGAGAGGACCGTGGTCCCATGTACGGGTGGGATATTGGAACCAAACCAGCATGGAACCCATAGAGGAGTTGAAAAATGACCCGATGAAGTAGGCTTTTAGATTCTGTCATATTATTTCACGGAAGAATTCAAAGATCAGGTTTGTAATGTAATGAACAGAACACTACTTAAAAACAAAAAACCCCAGAATAACAAGCAGCATGATGGACAGAGAAACATAGGCAAACAACATCCTATGGCTGGTGTAACTGTTTCGTTGGACCTTATGTTCCCACCCCACTGCCCGAGAAGGGCGCATGGGAGCAGTTAGCGTGGGCGCAAGAGGCGAGGCTCGGTATCACTGCAGAGTTGCGAGCGTGGCAGCGATTGCACGTCCATAACCCACAGCTCCACAGCAGCTCCATTCTCTGGCTGGGAATGGGATGCGCTGGACTAATTTGGGTCTTTCGCCCTATTTCACAGTGATTAACTTTGCTCAGTAAGCAGCTTCTCTGCTACTGATTTTGTTTCTCTTGTCTCACCTTTCTCCATT